CCTTGAAGATACAAGTTTGCATTTCTCTTGGATTACTGCCGGGAGCTGTGGGGTAGCTGGGTTAGAGAGCGGGAGGTTGTTTAACCTATAAGAAGCCACCGGTCTCCTGAAGGGTAACAGTGCCTCTGTTAGTGGGGCTTCTGCTCTCTGCTCCCATCTGCTGTGTTGCCATCCTGAGTGGTTCTGGGGCCCAGCTATGCAGTGCCAGGCCCTGCAGGGCAGAAGGGGCCTCTGTCTGGGCTGGTGCCTTTATTTTTGCTGGCAGAGGCTCCTTGGGGGAGTCTCCACGGTAGGCAGTTCCCACCTGCGAGTCTGGCCTCTGCGCCTCAGCCTTGCGTGGCTGTGGTTCCCTCCCTCCCTCTCTCTGTGTCAAGGCCTGAGCCTGCCCTGGTGGAGGTGGGGGATGGTCCATGGGTGCTCACCAATAGTCCTAGAGGTAGTAACGGTTCACATCTTGTCCCGTATTCTGTAGAATTCTCCCCCTTCTTGGTAGTCCATTGGCTTTTACTAGTTAATTATCCTTTACATTTACCCATATAGTATTTGTGAAGTGTCTGTCTAAGTCTTGTGCCCCATTTGGGGGTCTTGCTTATATTTTTATTAGCAGATCGTAGTGAGTTCTTTATTCAGAATTCAAGTCCTGAGATACATGCTTGGTGGACGTTTGTTTACTGTCCTTGCCTGTCCACAGCTTTTACTGCGGTGACAACTACCTAAAATAAAATTTACCATCTTAACTGTTTCAAGTGTACGGTTCAGTAGTGTTAAGTGCATTCATATTGTGTGAAAGAGATCCTCAGGTTTTCATCTTGCAGATCTGGAAATCCTATTAAACTATCTCCCTCCATTCCCCCCTCTACCCTGTCCCGATGGCCACTGTATTCTAATCTCTATGAATTTGACTACTTTAGGGTCTTGGCCCATTCTGGGTTTAACAGAGTACCTGAGCCAGGATGATTTATAAGGGACAGAAATTTATTTCTCAAAGCCATGGGGAAGTCCAAAATCAAGTGGCCATTGTGTGGTGTGTGGTGAGGGCCATGTCCTGCATCCAAGACGGTGCCTTGAGCGTGAGTGGAGCCCTCCTGTCCTCTCCCCAAAGCCCTCCTCCCCACTGTTGCACTGGGTTAAGTTTCCAACACGTCAGTTTGGGAAGATACATTCAGACCACAGTGCCCAGGTATCTCACATAAGTGGGATCATAGCCCTTTGCTTTTGCGACTGGTTATGTCACTCAGCATAATGTCCTCAGGGCCATCTGTGTTGTGGCAGTGACAGGATTTCCTTCCTTTCAATGTGAGTACTCCATTTCTCCTATCCATTCATGTAGGGATGGACACTTGGGTTGCTTCCAGGAGCTCTTAGCCATCGTGAACAGTGCCACTATGAACATGAGTGTGCAAATATCTTGAACGCCTGCTTTTGTTCATTTGGACGTATAGGCAAATGGAATTGCTGGACCCTATGGCAGTTCTAATCTTAATTCTTTTGAAGAATCTCCAAACTGTTTCCCATAGTGAGTGTGCACCTTCACAATTCCACCCACAGTGCACAAGGGTTCCAAATTTTCTGTATCCCCACTAACACTTTTCTGTTTTTTAAAGATGTGAGTGAGGTGGTGTCTTATTGTGGTTTTGATTTGATCACCTGATGATTGGTGATGTCTGTTTTTTCATGAGCTTGTTAGCCATTTGTGCATCATCTTTGGAGACATATCCAGTCCTTTGCCTGTTTTTTAATTTGGTTGATTTTTTGTGTTGAGTTACAGGAATCCCTCATATATTCTAGGAGTTCACCACTTATCAAATAGTAAATGATTTGCAAATATGTCCTCCCATCTGTAGTTTGCCCATTTCACTCTGTCGATTGTGTCCTTAGGTGCACACAGGTTAAGTTGTGTGTTTTTGCTTTTTTGCGTTTTTTCCTATGGTTTTGTTGTCATATCTAAGGTAGAAATACCTATAAAGTCCCCTGTAATGATGCTATTTAGGTCTTACATTTAATCTTTAATGCTTTTCGCTTGTTGTGGTGGTGGTTGTTGAGACAAGGTATTGCTGTGCAGCCCAGGTTGGCTTCTAACTCCCAACCCTCTGGCCTCTGTCTCCCACGAGCTGGCATTACAGGTATGCACCACTATGCCCAGCGGCTTTAATCCATTTGGAGTTAGTTTTTGTACATGGTCTATTCATTTTTTAATGGTGAGCAGAAGTTTGGGGTTTTGACAGTCTGTTTTGTTGACTGTTAAGTTTTGTTTTATGGCTGTTGCCTAGCATAACTAAGCAATCTTTGTCTACTCAGGCCACAAAGAAACTCTCCTATGTTTTCTCCTGGAACCCTGATAGCCTTAGCATTTTCTGTTTGGGCTTGTGACTCACCTCAGGTTCGCATCTGTGTCTGGTGGGATGAGGGTCAGAGTTTATTTTTCTCTGTGTGAACATCTTGCTGTCCTAGCATGGTTTATTGAGAAGACTTCCTCTCCCCACTTTGAGTGTGGTGGACACTGTGATGTGCCTGGATCTCCCCTAGAAGTGAGGTGCTCCCTTCTGCTGCTGGAGCTACTACTGGGCAGCGGCCCTCAGTGGTTGTGACCTCTGGGGGCTTCTCACTTGATCTTAGCCAGAAGGCGGAGAAGTGATCTGGGGCTTCTCTTGCTGCAGAGACAGTGCTCTGCTGAGACCACACTGTCCTCCCAAGGAAGCTCCTGTGCAGTTACCGACTCATCTGGATCAGTGCCGCTACCATGTCATGGTGTCACTGGGGTGGGTCCGAGGAGCTCCTCAGGTGGAAGTAAGGAACCAACCCTCCTTTCTGCAGAGGTCCCAGGCTCGCTGACTCCTGCCGAGGAAAGAGTTTTCAGGATGCATCAGTAAGAAGTACAGAGGGTTTATCAGGCAGATCTGGGACCACTCAAGAGTGCGGTGAGGTGCTCAGAGAAACGAGACTTGAGATGCACTGTTTCCTGGGGCAGGGCCAGCTCTGCTGCTCTTGGAGGGGTGGAAACCTGCAGCAGGCACCCACCCCCAGGGCACTGGCCTGTTCTACAGGTGTGGGCAGTCTTGGGGGGGGTAGGTAATTAAAGCGTCCTTTGGATTCGCTCTGCCTACTCCTCTATCTCAGGATCATCCTGCCCTTAACAATGAAGCCCATGAGGACTCAGTGCTCCTGAGGAATCGGTTGTGCCGGGTCGGGTCGGGCAGGAGCCTGAATTTACCCAAAGGAATGCCAATGTGGATCACCCTGGGAAACTTTGCTGGGTCCTGGAAGCTACAGTCTTCTTAAAAGTATGATTTTCTGAGCCAGAGATGTAGCTCAGTGGTTTTGCCACCTGCCTCGAAAGTGAAAGGTCCTGAGTTCGATCCCCGCTACCAAAGAAAAACAAAAAGTACAATCTTCAGTTACAATTTCCTCGTCTCTTTTATGGCTTTTGTTTCTCCTGTCCTGCCTCAGTGGGACAGCTCAGCATGCCCTGAAGTCCTGTGGACAAGGGGGCCAGGCGGAGGGCCCAGGTCTGCAGAGCTGCTCCCCACTGCTTCTCAGCATGGGGTCACTGTGCACCTCCAGGCACCAGAGCAATGGTGCTGAGGCCTCTGCTGCACAGAGCTGGGGGCAGGGGGGGCTTTCCCGCCAACTGCTGCCCACCAGACTCCAAGTCTGCTGCAAACCCAGGCCTCACAGGCCCCCCTCAAGTCCCCGTACCCCACTTCCCCCTTGCCCTCCTCACTCCCTTCTAGCAGTGGGCAGTTGGGCCGCAGATCCAGGGCCTAGCAGCCATCCTGTGCCCCAGAAACAGCGGCCACTCGCTGCTGAGGGACTCTGAGCCTCAGTTTCCTCACCTGCCAAGGGGACTGTGAGCATCTATGGAGCCCACATTCACAGAGAGCTTGGCCCAGGGAGACACTAGAGGGGGCAGAGTAGATGGCAAACGAAGAAGCCTGTGGGAGTTGAAGCCCTGGCACCAAGGACCTGGGGTTGTTTTACAAGGGCTGGTCCTGGGCCACCTTCCATCCACCATCCAGGACCGGTCAGGGCCACCTTCCGTCTAGCTTTGGTGACGGCTGTGGGGAGGGGGCACCTGTGTGTGGCACGGACAGACACATGGCAACTCCATGCCTCAGGAGTCGTCCCTTGGGGTGTGAAGCAGCCAGGTTGTCTCTGCTGCTGGTGACCTGTGAGAAGGGAATCCTCAAGGCAGAGATGACCCCTGAGAACCTGCATGGGTGTGGGGTGCTTGCTCTTCACTCCATTGCGCCCCCTGCTGGAGGCCACCAGGCCCTGACCACTGCCTGACTCCTGGTTCTGATTCAAATTATTCACAAAGTAAGAGGCCACGCTTTCCCCTTGAACCATGGTTTGGTGGCCCTTGGGTAAGACCAGTAGTTCTGAGACTGGCACTTTCATAGTCACCAGGAGGGCTGCCACGCACCCTCCTCCAGGCCCTGGGGCCTCTGAGTCAGCAGGCCTGGGGCTGCACTTTCAGGTATAACTGAGTGCAAGAACATGGGCCGGGGTGGGGGAAGCAGCCGGGGCTGCAGGGCTCTACAGAACCCATTTCTGCCCCGGGTTTTTTCAGTCGAGGAAGAACATCCCCTGCGCCCAGCTGCTCTCTCCGGCCACACTGAGGAGCGGTTCTGGCTTAGGCCTGGCACAAGTTGCAGGCACAGCCGAGGCTGCAGCTCTGCTGGAAGGGGTGGGACGACGTCCAGTGCCCCGGATGTGTCCCCCTTGGAGGGGACCCTGGGTCCCCAGGCCCTCTCTCAGCTTCTCGGCCTCTGTGAGCTGAGCAGCTTTGCTTCGCCAGGTGCCCCTGCCTTGGCGTTCTGCTTCAACACAGGCCCAAAGCTGTGGGCCAGGACGGGAACCGGAACCTCTGAAACCAGGAGCCAAAATGACCCTTGCTGCTTCCGCCTCCGCCCCGCCCCTGGACGGGCACCCTCCCCGCCACCCACCCGGCCTGACCCCTCTTCTTGCCTGGGGACAGATTGGCCCGGGGAGGCCCCGCCCCGCCGCCGTCGCTCCGGCTGCCTGCGGGCGCAGCGAGTCGCCCGAGCCCGCGTCCCCAGGACCCTACCGGCATGGCGCGCGCCGCGGGGCCCGAGCGCCGGCTGCTGGTCGTCTACACCGGCGGCACCCTCGGCATGCGGAGCGAGGGCGGGGGTGAGTCGCCGCGCGCCGGGCGGGCCAGTGCTCGGCCACCCCTGGAGCCCGGGCCCTGCTTGGGCCCAGAGGGGCCCGGACTCACTCTGCAGACCCTCCCTCGGGGCACCCTCAGCCGGTGCCCCTGCTGCCAGATGCCCTCCCCTCCCCTCCCTCTCCACCCAGGCCCTGGGCAGCCGGGCGCGCCCGCCGCAGCTCAGAGAGTGGTGCCTTTCCCTGGTGCGTCCTCCACTCCGGACCTCCGGTCCTGCGGACCAGGGGAGCCAGCGCCCCCTGCCTGTCCTCCTCCCTGGGCCTGGCCAAGCCCCTCAGAGCCAGCCCCGCAGTCCTGGCCTTGCCGACTAGCCACTTCTCCCCTCTCTCCCCTCCTCTGTGGCCTCGGGCCCCGGCAGACACGCCTCCCGGCCACCCTTTCCACTGGAGCGGCCGCTCAGGGCCCGCCACTTTCTCTGTGCTCTGGGGACGGCTTCTCAGTCGTCCTGCGGATTTGGTCTGCATCAGCTCGATCAATGCACACACCTCTCGGCCCCTCCGTGCCAAGCCTGGGCGCAGGCCCTAAGTGGGCCTGCCCTGCGGGGGCACAGGCATCGGGGACATGGTTGTGGAGGCTGCTGGGGGCCGCCCGGTGCTGCAGTTCTCCACCTCCGGTTGGGGCACAGCCGTTCCCAGGTTGGGGAGTGCCTCCAGGAGCTGTCTATGAGCGGCCATCATGCGGGCTTCTGTGTGGGCCTCACAGAGAGCCGGCTGACATTCAAATATGACACGCCAAGGAGCCCGTCTCAGGAGGCCGGGTTCGGCCAGGGGGCTCCATGCCAGGGGTGCCAGCAGGGCCAGGGCCAGTGCCAGTGTGGGCATGTGTGGTTGTATTGGGGCTGCCAGGAGAGGCCTCCCTGGGGACTCAGGGACCAACATGGGAGTGGCCAGGCAGGAGCAGAGAGGAGGCTGTGGGAGCACTGTGTCTGGAGTCCGTCCTGCCCTCTTGCTGCTGCCCTCCGCTTGGCCTGTGGCCAGCTGCAGTTCCATTGGGTCAGCACGTGGCTGTTCAGTGGACCATGCTGAGGGACAGTGGACACTGCCGGGGTCCCACCTGCAGGCGCGCTGTGCTCTGTGCTCTGGTGCTGGCCCAGCAGCTCCTGGGCTCTCAAGCTCGAGTGCTACGTTCCTGCAGGGGGCTGTGAAGCCATGCATCTGCCAGGCGAGCCAGACTTTGGCTCCTGGAAGATGGGTGGGTGTCCACTTTCACAGAGACCCCACGGAGCTGTGTTCTGAGCCCTGGATGGCTGTCACCCTGGAGCTCACAGAGCAGAGCCTGTGCCACTGGTGAGTGGGTCTCCCGGCTCTGTGCCGGGGCCCCGTCCCCAGACCAGCTGCTTCCAGACAAAGCCTGCCCCAGGCCATCTGCAGTGCCAACCTGGTCCTCTTCAGAGAGGCCTTAGGGAGCTGGGAATTTAGCCCCCAGAGGACCCCGGCTAACCTCCAAGAAGGAGCAGTCCTCACACTGCCCAGGCAGGCCAGGCCCCAGCCTGTTTGCCCTCATGTGTAGCTGAGTGAAGTGCTTTGAGGAAGAAGCAGATGGGGACCCAGCTCCCTGACCTTTGTACCTAAAAATGTGTGTAAGGGAGAGGCTTGCAGAAATAAGGGAAGCACCACAGGCCAGAGAAGTTGGGAGTGACAGGAGGCCCAGGCCTGGGGCTGGGGTCCAGCCCCTGAGACCTCAGGTGAACTCCACCCTCTCTGTGCCCTGCAGGGGTCGTTGAGCCCAAGGCTGCAGCCCCACCTGCGAGGGAGCTGCCACCCCACGAGCACCAATAATTAACTTGCTCACCCTGCTGACTGGGGCACTGGCCTCTGGTAAGGAGCAGTGATTGGGAGCTGTGGCTTCAGCCACAGCAAAACTGTTTGGATTGTCGCTGTTGTAACAGTTTCTGTGCCTGAGGATAAACAGGGCCTACAGGGCACCACACATTGCATGACCAAGCCCTGTCAAAGTTCAGGGAGGGCGGCAGGCCTCACCCCTTGGCACACCTTTAGGAGTTCAGCAAAGTTGTTACAAATCACGGGACATCATATACCTGATAAGCAGAAGCAGAGGCCACACGGGATCCGAGGGACTTGGGTGACCGCCTCAGGAACTGGCTCCGTGAAGCACATGCTGCGGGAACATCAGCGTTGGGGCAAGGGGGTCCAGGGCATGTTCCTGCTCATGGCCCCAGAAGCCAAACGGCCTCCGCTGGAGTGGTGCCCATGGCTTCCTGGCCACTGCCCATGGCATCTGTACCATCCAGATTCCCACCTTGAGGTGACTCCTCAGGCTCCAGCTCACATTTGCCCGTCCTAAGCTTGCCCTGGGCGATTCCATGGGGACCCACTGTCCTAGGAACAATCCCCTCCAGGCAACCACCCTGGGACAGGGCCCAGGGTTTCCCCTCTGGGCAGTCACCTGCCTGCAGGGGTTTCCTCGAAGAAAAGTGATGCAATCATTAAATCAAAGCTGGGAGTGACACTTGCTGGTATTTACTTACAGTGATAAAAGAAATTACAAGTTGAAATGGGCCTCCTGGCCGCAGTCCGTGGAGCAGTCGTGTCTAGTGACCCTGCTGTTTTCTGGGCGGTTTCCCGCTCCTGCCTGCATGTTCTTCCCGGCTCTCACTGCCGGCCCTTTGGGCAGCGGTCTGCCCAGGCGGAAGGCATGGAAGCAGCAGGCGCCTTCTCTGGCTCTGCCGAGGGGTGCCGGGGTCTAGGCCCCTGTGGCTGCCCTCCCATGCCGTGCCCCTGGAAGTAGCTAGAGCAGCCTGGCGGTGGACAGAGGTGCTTGCCCGGTGTGAGCGTGTCCTCCACCCCAAATCAGAGATGCACCTCACCTTCCCCGGAAGTGCGTCTTCACATTTCCACACACACCCTGCAGAGATGGGACCTAGAGGGTAAAATTTGTGTCTTAGTTTTCTGTGGCTGCTGCGACAAATTCCCAGGTGTTGAGTGACTGAACGCCATGGAATCCGTTTTCTGCTCTGGAGGCCGAGTAAAGTGTGGGCAGGGCTGCACCCCTTCCTGGTGGCTGCTGGTGGCTTGGGCTTGTGGCCACACCCTCCATCTTCAAGGCTGCTCCAGAGGCCTTGTGCATCTAGGCTCCCTCTGGCTTCCCCTTGTGGGGACACATGTGATGGCATTTTGGGGCCACCCGGGAAATCTGGGACCTCTCACCATTTTCCTTGGCATAAGCACACCTGGAACGGCTTTGCCATGCAAGGAAACATCCACAGTCCTGGGGTTGGGATGTGGGCACGTGCGTGTTCAGCCCACCACGGGTAGGGCAGGGACACGGCCCAGTGCTGGGTGGTAGGTGGCTCTTGAACGGGGAGGCAGGCCATGTCCTGGCCACACTCGGGGCGTCATCTGCCAAACACATGTGGGCTCTGGTCTCCCCATGTGCTCCCTGCCTACGAGTGGACACTGGTGAGCAGCTGCTCCTGGCAGAGCCCTATGGGTGCCCGGGGTCTTGGCGCCAGATAGGGGACAGGGCCAGGGGTCTCAGGTGGGGGAAACAGTGCCACAAACACCCGCAGTCCCATGGGCCTGAGACCGTCTGGGGCAGGGGAGGGGCTTGGGCCGGGTGCCTGGCAGATGGAGATGGGAGGACGGCCCTCGAGCTGTAGAAGGTGGCAGGGTGGGTGAGGAACGCTGCCCTCCTACCAGCTCCGATGCCTGCCAGGCTCCTGACTCCTTGCATCGGGGAGACAAAAAGGGGCAATGTGTAAATCCAGAGTCTGTGACCCATTCATGACCCGGGAACTGGGTACAGCTGGCAGCGGCAAAGGGCTGCAGGCCAGCCAGGAGCTGCCAAACCAGAAGGGCAGTGGTGCCGGTGGGGACAGGCCTGCAGCAGGAGCTGGGGGGAGAGGTGGGCTTTGTCCTGAGCTGCTGAACCCCAGGAAATGCAGGGTGTGACCAGCAGTACCCACGGCCGACAGAACCTGGCCCCAGGCAGGAGAAAGGTGATGTTCATAGAGGCCAAGGAAACTGAGGCTGGGGCAGCAAGGCCAGCACCTAAGTCGTGAGGCCACTGGGCATTCCCAGCTGCCCTGGGGGTATGGCTGGTTCTGTCCCCCTCCCCGTGTTCCCTGGGCACCAGCAGCAACTTTGAAGGCTGTTACAGTCAGAGCGTTGGGCATGGAAGGAGGGCCCTGGCCGGGCCCACTCCACAGTGACCTCCAGGCCTGTGTTCAGGGGTGCCTGCTCCTCCCTGTGCCCCCCACTGCACCCCATGTGACACAGAAAGGGGTTGGATGATGTGGTCGGGCTCCTGACCCCAACTGGAGGTGCTGCTGGTCACTGAGGTGGCCCCACCTAGTCTGTGGAGCCCTGGTGGAGGATTATGATTTGGCTGCCCATGAAGGAGGAAGTCTGGGGAGGCCGGGTAGAGGACAGGCCTGAGTTTGAGGACGGGGTGCCCTGGCCACTGCTCACAGGCACCTCGGCCAGGCCTGGACTGGGTTCTTCCGAGCCCCCAGCATCTCACCCCAGGACGGGAAGGGGCCGAAGGGGTTAAGGTGCCAAGGTTGCAGCCACAGGGACCGGCTGACCCGCAGAGGAGGGAGGCTGGAGCTCCCAGGACGGAGCAGCCACTGCCTCTCCTGAGGTCCTGGTGTTCGGTAGAGGACGCTTCCCCGGGTGCTGCTGTCCTTGCCACTGTGTCCTGGTCCCCAGGCACGTGGGCAGCCCACAGAGCACTGCAAGGAGTGCAAGGGCCGGGAGAGGCTGGCCGACCTGCCCATGGCCCAGGCACAGAGCTTTGGTCCCCGCTCCCCCCGGAAGTGTTTCCGGAAATGCCTGTGACCTCTCAGGGCTCTCTTGGGAGGGCGCCTTTAACATACAGCAGCTCCTGAGACCCCCAGGCTGCGGGTGGAGGAGCTGCTGGGGTGGGGTGGCGGTGGCTCTGTGCCCATCCGCCTGCTGAAGGGCTGGGCAGGGACACGGGCAGGAGCTGAGGAGGTCACACTTGGGGATCAGGATCGAGGGCCTGCGAGAGAGCCCGTGGGAAGGGCTGCGGCCTGGCAGAGGGAGCGCTTCCTGGGCGGGGCCCAGAGTGGGGTCCTGAAGCTCTTGCTGGGAGAAGTACCTTCGGGCAGCACCCCGGGCGCAGTGTGTCCCTGGGGTGGGGGTAGAAGGTGGGCGCATGGCTGCCTCGTGAGCCAGCTGGAGGGGCCAGGCCCTGGGCTTTGCCGGAAGCATGGACAACCCTGGACAACCCTGGAGATGGGGCGTGGGCAGAGTGGGGCCTGGCTGTGTGGCTTCCAGATGAGCAGTCGGCATCGCTCCAAGGGATGAGGCCCAGCCTCCCAGACTCGGGACAGCTGCCGGCCTCCCAAGGGTCGCCAGGACTGGCGGCACCCAGTGGGAATGCGGGACAGAGCGCTGTGTCCCGCCCTGACCGCACGCTCCCCGTCTCTGCCCAGTGCTGGTCCCCAGCCGAGACCTGGCTGCCGTGCTGCGAACGCTGCCCATGTTCCATGACGAGGCGCATGCCCGGGCCTGGGGCCTCCCCGATGACACCCTGGTGCTGCCGTGAGTGGGGCTCGTGGCCAGGCGGGTGCCGCCAGCTGTCCTGAGGGCCAGGGTGGGCGGGTCCTGAGGTGCACAGCCCCGTGGGGTCGGAGGGGTGGGCACTGCTTCCTCAGGGCTATGGGGGTGACCTCGGTGGCCTCCCCGAGCCAGGCCCATGTGCGTCCCTCCTACCGGCCCTCATTCCCCGGGCACAGGGGTGACAGCTTCAGCAAGCATGGCGAGGGCACCCTGGCAGACAGAGCCTCCCTTCCCGTGTGTCGGTGCTGGCCTACGGCCCTCAGGTGGGAGGCGGGCTGGGAGTTGTCCTTGCCACCACGGGTCTCCCCGAGAGCCTCCTCCGGGGCTGGTCCCAGACGGCTCTTGCAGGTGCGTGGGGACAGCCTGTCCTGGCCCACATCACCACCCCTCCTGGGGACGTGGCCCTGCATCTGGGACCTGCAGGTGTCAGGGAGGCCCTGTGGCCAGGCGCTGAGAGCCTGCTGCATCAGAGCCCCTGCTGGCCCAGGAAACCCCATGAGGAGGGCCAGACAGGGAGCCTGCATTCCACCTCCTGCAGCCCCGCCTGCCCTGACCAGAGGGTCATCTACACAGTGCTGGAGCGCCAGCCCCTCCTGGACTCCAGCGACATGACCATCACGGAGTGGGTTCAGGTTGCCCAGATCGTGGAGGTAGGGGCTGGCACTGTGGGCAGGGTCGAAGCCTCTTTCTTCACTGAGGAGGGGTCTGCAGTCCCCGGGACGGCAGGACCACGGGCTGGTGCCAGGCTCCAGGGTTCTCCCCATTTGAGTGCAGGTTCCCTGTCAGGGGCAGCCGGACCGCTGGCTTGGCCCAGTCCGTGTGGGACAGGGTGTGCACCACTGCCTGGAGGACTGGCCGGCTCTGGAAGCCTGGCCTCGGCCCCCACCCCTCAACCCGTCCTCGTTGCAGTCTTAGTGGATTTAAGGCCAAGGAACCCACTCGGGGCCTAGCAGCTTGCGGAACTGTGCGGTGGCCAGGCTGCCCCTGCAGCGCTTTTCCTCCCTATTCTCCGCCTTCCGGTCCCAGCTCCCACACGAGCCCAGCCTTGGCTCCCCGTCTCCCACCCCCTCAGCCCCTTAAAACCCTTGCCGTCTGCTACTTAGAAGGCTGAGGCAGGAGGATCACAGGCTCAATGCTAGCGTAGGCAACTTAGTGAGAGACCCTGTCTCCAAAGATATGAAGAGCTGGGGGTGTAGCTCAGTGGTAAAGGGCCACTGGGTTCAATCCCTAGAACCTAGTGAAAAGAACCCATGGGGTCACTCAGACTCCCCTCCCTGGCCAGCCCTGGTCACCCACACGCTGGGCTCCACCCCAGCTGGGACCCTCCTGGAACAACCTGTGACCCAGGGCCTGTCTCCATTTTGGGAATGGGGCGGCCAGTACGCCTGTCGACAAGGCCTGGGTTGAGCTGGTCCAGGACTGGCTCCTTTGGGACCAGGCCAGGCTGTTCTGCTGAGCTCTGGGCGATGCCCTGTATCCCTGCTGCAGGGTCCAGGCCACCTCGTTGTGGCCTTCTCAGCCTGCATCTGTCCTCTCATGGCCACCAGAGGGCGCACGGCCCCACTGTGCCGCCCAGCTCCCCACTGTTCCCTGGCAGGTGATGCCCGCAGGGCCTGGTGTGGGGAGAGGTCCCAGGCCTTTCAAGCTGCCAGCTGCCTGCCAGGAGGTGGCGGCCAGAGTTCCTGCCCAGGTCCACTTCCACGCAGCCTCCCAGACCACCTGCCATGGGCCGCATCTGCACTGCCCTCCCACTGGACATTGAGGCTCCCACTTGGGGTCTCTGGGGAGCGTCCTGCTGACCAGCCCTGTCTGGAGGTGCTGCTGCCAGTCTGGGGGTGCTGCTGCCCTTGAGGAGTGTCAGGAGCCCCCAGGACCGACATTCTCGGGCCCTGGGCTCCAGCCAGGGCCTGCAGGTGAAGCCTTGAGCCCATCCATCTGCTTTGGGCTCTTTGCTGCTGCCCCCTGGCCGCCCCTGAGCACACCCCTCCCACAGAGACACTACGAGCAGTACCACGGCTTTGTGGTCATCCACGGCACCGACACGATGGCCTTCGCCGCCTCCGTGCTGTCCTTCGTGCTGGAAAACCTGCACAAACCTGTCATCCTCACTGGTGCCCAGGTAACCCTGGGCAGGGCTGTGCAGGACCGGGCTTCTTGCTCCGTGCTGCAGCTGAGCAGCTCCTGTGGCAGCTCCTGCTGTGGGCTGCCGAGCAGGTTTCATGGGTGCCCTTTGTGCCTCCTGGGGCCACCTTGCTGGTCCCCAGAGGCCCACAGCCTGGGGTGGCCTTGCCCATTGGAGGGGGAACAGGAGCCCAGCCCGTGGCACCTGGCTCCTCCTCCTCTGCTGGGCCTCAGGCTTGCCGCCCACAGCTGGTACTGGGGAGACCCTGGTCGCTTCTCTGCCTTTGTTCCTCTCTTCCTTCTTCCTGCCATGCCCCCCACCCCTGGTGCTGCCCCAGGTGGCCCGGCACACGATGGCCCTCCTCTCTCACCCTGACCTGACACATCAGGGCCTGCTAGAGGCCAAACCGGGGTCCCTCTGGCCTGCATGGGGCTTCACAGGGGCCAGTCCTGGTGCCCATTGGGGTGGCGAGGGAGCATGGGGCAAAGCGGGTGGGTTGAGGCTTCCGGGGCACGGACCACTGCTGGCCTGGTGGGTGGACTCCCCTTCCCCGCAGACCCCGCCTCTCTGTCCTGAGGGGTTCGCAGGAGAGGAGCCAGCTTGCCTGTGCTGCTCCGCCTCAGCCTACCTCCCCAGCCTCTCCCCAGGTGCCCATCCACGCGCTGTGGAACGACGGCCGGGAGAACCTGCTGGGGGCGCTGCTCATGGCCGGCCAGTACATTATCCCCGAGGTGCCCAGCTGCCGGGGCGCGTGGGGGGGAGTGGGTGCTGTGGCTGGGTGTGCTCCACGGGACTTGTGGGTGTGGCACTTGGGGCCACAGATAAGGGGTCCCATCAGGTTTGTGGCTTGCTTTACAACTAACACATGGTCATTGGCAAAAACCTTGGAGCCGGGTGTGGTGGTGCAGGCCTGTGATCCCAGCACTGTAGGAGGCTGAGGCAGGAGGATCGCAAGTTTGAGCCCAGCCCAGGCAACTTAGCAAGACCCTGTCCAAAATAAAACATAAAGGGCTGGGGTACAGCTCAGTGCGAAGGCCTAGGGTTCAATCCCCAGTGCCACAAAAACAAAACTTTGGGAAGGCAATAAAGCAGATAGGACAGCCGCCCATGCCACTACCCGGAGAGTGTGCTGTTGACCTGGTCTCTGCTCCCTGACACACATCATGCATATTTACACGTGTGTCGCAGACATGTGGCTGTTTCCTCCTCCCGCAGGTCTGCCTGTTCTTCCAGAATCAGCTGTTTCGGGGCAACCGGGCAACCAAGGTGGACACCCAGAGGTTTGGGGCCTTCTGCTCCCCCAACCTGCCCCCGCTGGCCACTGTGGGCACAGACGTCACAGGTGAGCGACCGGAGAGCCATGCTGGCGCTGCGGGGCAGGAGGGGCAGCCTGGAGCAGAGTTCCAGGGGCTGGAGCAGAGGCCGGGGCTCCGCCTCGCAGGTGCGCTGCCCACACCGTGGCCCGGCTGTTCCCCAGTGGCCGCTGTGGCTCCTGTCGCACACTCTTGGTGCCCAGGAGTTCCAGGGAACCCTCCGTCCTGGGCCATGGGAGCCCGGCGACCCCCAGCAGTGCCCTGAGCGTTGGCCTTCCATGTGCATGCGTGCTCTCCTGAGGGCTGTAGCGCTCCCAGCCCGTGGGGGGAGCCCCAGCCCTGCCTGCGTCTCTTCTTCCTGCCCAGGGGCCCGCCCTGCCCTCCTGTCTGCCACCCTGCGCGGCTCCTGTGGGCAGCAAGGGAGGCTGCTCTTCTGAACCCAGCAGTGGTTCTCGTTTGACTGCGGCTGGGCAGCAGCCCGGGCGCTGGGGGCCGCTGGGGGCCCTGACTCCTATCCCGGGGCTCTCACCTGCACCCTTTCCCTGACTCCTCCCAGCACTTCCAGGGGTGTCTGCGTCTGTCGAGTGCTGAGCAGCCTGGGAGCTGCCTGGAGGCCCACATGAGCTGGTGCTGCACAGGGCCGAGTGGAAGCTGCAGGTGTGGCACTGCCCACGGCCAGCTCTGGGTGCTGAGTGGCGCCTCGGCGGAGAGGCCAAGCTCTGGACCCCAGGGCCTCTGCCACATGCAAGGCCAGCAGCTTGGGCCCCACCCGACATGGCGGCCCCTCGCGAACCGAGCCCACTGTCCCCACATTGCTCTGCGTGCTGGGAACCCACGCCCTGCCCACCACCCTGAGGTCAGCCTGCCCGGCCGGCTCTGATGCTGCTGAGAAACCCAGGCTCTGCCCAGGGTGTGGCTGCTGGGGCCCTGAGGAGTGTGGAGGCCGGAGCCAGGGCTCCCCACCATCTCTGCCCACCTTCTGGGCAGAGGGGTACCCGGAGGTGCCCACTGTCGGGCATGTAGACACGTCCTCACCCCAGGCTGTGCCTGCCCAGCCCGACGGGAGCTGCAGTGGCAGAGCTGGGGAAGGGGGACATTGCCGGGGACACTGCAGCAGGGCCTGAGCCTGTGCCACCTCCAAATGGAGCGCCCAGTGCCCCGAGGTACAGGGGACCACTGCCCGCCCAGATGGGCCGGTGTGGGTGTGTGCCCCCTTGCCCTGCCCTTGCAGGCTCCCTTGCTGTAGGTGACGGGGCCGGGGCTGCTGGGGACTGAGCTGAGGCCTGGCCAGCCCCCCACCACGGCCTTCAGACCTAGGGGTTTCATGGTCTCTTTGGCAGCTGATGGCCACCAGGCGGGCCTTGGTCTCCTGGACACCCCAGTCTGCAGCAGGAAGTCTTGGGGATGGCAGGACCCCCAGCCAGTCCTATCAGCCATGCCCCCCTCCAAGGTCCCTAGATTAAAGCCATCTCCGCTGCCACTGTGTGGGGCTGATGGAGGCCCCACCCAGGTGTGTCCAGGTCGGCCTCTTGTTCCTTAATGAATGTGAATTGCTCTGCCAGAGGCCAGAGGCAGTGGACTTACATTACCCAGGGGGAGGAGGAGCCTGACAGGGGTTCTGGAGTCCGGGGTCCCTTCCCAGCCCTGAGCCTGACTCCAGCGAACCTCAGGGGGATCTTGCGCCTCCCTGGGCCTCAATTTCCCTGGGCTGGGCTGGACTGAAGGGTCCCCTTGGTGCCGTGTAGTGCTGGGGAATTGTTAGTGTCTGGCTGCGATGGGCTGCAGGCTGCTGTGGGCCACAGCTCCAGGGGTCCAGGGCCCACTGCCCGAGGCTGGTGGCCTTGACTGGGGGCAGGCTGAGCTCAGGGGTCTTTGGCATGGCCAGTATTACGGGGTGCTGACCCAGGGCGTCTGCCCCTTGCCACTTTCTGTAGGGCTGGGATCCCACTGCCACCCTTGGGGCACAGGGAGGGGCATGGGCGTGGGGCCTCTGGACTTGCGCGTCACTTGGATGGAGGCTTCCTTTCCTCGAGGCGAGGGCGTCCGGGAGAGTCTTCCTCCCTTCATCACCTTGGCTGGCAGTGGGCGCAGTAGGTGTGGGGGGCGGGGGGGGCAGGCAAAGCTGGCTGGTGGGGGACACGGGGCCTGGCATGGCAGGCTGCTTGCTCGCCTCCTGGCCGTCACATCAGCCTTTGCCCCTCTGTTCCCTCCCCCGTACCCTCCATGCGGCCTGGCCGGGGTCCCCCTCCCCTCTCCCTGCCACCCTGGCCCTGCCTTCGGCCCAGGGAGCGGGCGGACAGGAGGGGCCCACACCTCGGCTCTCGTCCTCAGTCTCCTGGGAGCTGGTGCGGAAGGTCAGCCGGGAGGACCAGCTGGTGGTGCACAGCAGCGTGGAGCACAACGTGGGGCTACTGCGCCTCTACCCTGGCATCCCCGCCTCCCTGGTAGGCTGCCCAGCCCTACCAGCTGGGTCAGCCCCCACAGGGAATCCAGCATTGGCAGGGTGGCCTCTGCTTCCCTTTGCCCCGGGCCTTCCCTGACAGGCCAGTGGTGGGCCCCTCCCCAAGTCCGGGGCCCTGGGCCACTCTCCTCCGAGACCATCTGTGCTCTGGACCCCAGGCTTGCTGGGGGTGGCCCCGGGACTCAGGCTGGGCCCTGTTTTCTGAGAGGCCAGGGCCCCGAGGCCATGCTCTAGGTCTTGCTGGATGTGAGCGGTGAGAGGCAGTGCCGGCCGACACAGTGTCAGGAAGCCTCCCGGCCCGGCCCGTGTCAACCCGCCCACCCTGCTGTGGGAGGGACAGTGCCTGCGCCAGCTCGACGGGCCTGTCTCCTCACCTCACGGGGATGCGTGGTCCCCCAGGGGAGCTCTGCTCTCCCGTGCCTGCCCAGAGCCTGGCTCTCTCATTCTGCACCAGGCAGGCGCAGGGCAGGCGCAGAAAGCAAAGCCCCTACGCCCTCCACAGGTTCGGGCCTTCCTGCAGCCCCCTCTCAAGGGTGTGGTCTTGGAGACCTTCGGTTCTGGCAATGGGCCCACCAAGCCTGACCTGCTGCAGGAGCTGCGGGCAGCGGCCGAGCGCGGCCTGATCCTTGTCAACTGCACCCACTGCCTTCAGGGGGCCGTGACCCCGGGCTATGCAGCGGGCTTGGTGAGGTTGGGGAACAGAGGCCAGGGGCGCCTCCTGGAGGGAGCGTGGTGTCCGCTGGCAGGCTGGGCAAGCCCCAGTGGCCCCTGTTCCCCTCCCGCAGGCTTCAGTGGGCGCCGGCATCGTCTCAGGCTTCGACATGACGTCAGAGGCCGCCCTGGCCAAGCTGTCCTATGTCCTGGGCCGGCCGGGGTTGAGCCTGGATGACAGGAAGCAGGTGCATGCACATGGGCTCGAGGGCAGGCCCCGTCCCAGGACCCCTTCGAGTCCTGAGGCAGCCACCCTGGACACTTCCCAGATGCCCCTCCTGCCCCACCGCTTCCGGGCCCTTGGGCTGCTGGGCGGTGGATGGGGGCTCAGGAGGTGCTGATTCTGCAGGGCCCAGTGTGGAGCTCTGGGCTGCAGGGGCCAAGCCCAGTGCCTCTGTGTCCTCCAGCTGCTGGCCAAGGATCTTCGCGGGGAGATGACGTTGCCCACCGTGGACAAGCACCAGTCCCCTCTGCAGGGCAGCAAGCTGGGTCACAGTGTTGCCTGGCTTCTGGGTCTGAGTGGCAGCCAGGTATGCTAGTGAGGACAGAGGGGCAGGATCATAAGAGGCAGCAGGGATGAGCCAGCCCACAGCCACTGTCATTCCGCTCAAGCTCCAGCTGCAGACAGCCAGGGCTGGGAGCCAGGAGGGTGAGGGGCCACAGCAGCTGGAACCAGGGGACCTTTGGAGCCTGAGGTGGGGGGCCCAGTGGCGGGGAGTAGGCACTGCCTCCACAGGGCCTGGTGTGAAAGGTGGGCTGCCTGGGGTCTCCAGACTCAGCCCCTGGTGCCCGCCTCACTGCTGCCCTAGCAGACAAGGTCCCTTCTCTGAGCGTCCCACACACCCCAGGTGTCCAGAGCAGGAGGAGGGCCAACAGCCAGGCCTGCTAGGGGCCCAGCACTGTGCCCAGTGCTGCTGGGCTTCTGTCCCGGGCAGCACTGTGATCTGCCTGCCAGGGCCAAGGAGCCAGATGAGAAGGCTGGGCTGTGTGGCCTATCATCAGGGCGGGCCTGGGCCTGACCAGGCTGCGTCATGGGTGCTGGGTGGGGTGGCCTTTGCTAGCATCCAGGCTTCAGGGGGCTTGGGGAGCCCCTGGGTGGCCAGTGCTGGCCTTCCGGGAAGGTGGGGGCTGTGCAGCGGCCCTTTTCTCTCACCAACCTGCACCCTCCCAGCTCAGTCCCTCCGGCAAGGATTAGAAGAGGAAATCAGGGCGGGCAGGCTGGGGTCACAGCCACTGGCATCAGACCTTCACTCCCAGGGCACAGGGTCACAGGGGCCTGGGGTGGCGGGGGCTGAGGCTCCAGGCTCTGAGGTTCCAGCACCTTCCCATCCGTGGGCTCTGCCCGCCCTTGACCCTGGGGTGCCGGGGACCCCAGAGTATCATCCTCTCCAGGAGGCAGATGCCGTGCGGGACACCCTGGTGCCCAGCCTCGCCCTGGCTGCAGCCCACGCAGGTGACCTGGAGGCTCTGCAGGCGCTTGTGGAGCTGGTGAGCCCCGCAGTGCCAGCCCTTCCCGCCCTCCTAACCCCGCCAGGCCCTGTCTTCCGTGCATCCAACTCTCCCTGCCCAGCCCTCTCTCGGGGTCCTCCCTGCCCAGCCCTCTCGGGTGGTGTGCCCTCTTGTCTCCCAGGGCAGTGGCCTGTGCCTGCAGGACCCTAACGGCCAAACCCTGTTGCATGCGGCCGCGCGGAGGGGCCACGTGGGGGCAGTAACCATGCTGCTGCGCAGGGGCGTGGATGTGAGCGCCCGCGACCAGGACGGCCTCACCCCGCTGCTGCTGGCTGTGCGGGGCAGGTACCTGGCCTGGGCACTGCAGTGGGTGGTGGGCAGAGACCAAGAAGGGGTCCCGACTGAGGGGTGATCCAGGCGCGGCTTATTCTGTTTTTCTCTGGTACTGGGTCCTGGAGATCAAAACCAGGTTGTAGAAAAGGAGAGCCCCTGGCAAAGCGCGGCCGCATGTGCCTGTGCCTGGGGAGAGTCCGGAGCAGGCAGATGGAGGCTCTGATGGGCTCCGGCCCCTGAGGGACACCGAGCCTCCACGTGGCGAGTCCCGGCAGGCCCTGGGCAGGCGGCAGGAGCTGGGAAAGGGGGCCGCTCCCCACCAGAGAGCCCACTGCTGTGCCTCAGCGGGCACCCCTGACCCTAGGCCCAGAGCAGCAGAGGTGCCGAGGGCGTCGTCGTGTGACCTGGGGAGCCTGTGAGCGTGACTGTCCCTCCCCACCTCTCATGCCGGGCCGCCGTGGCTCTGTCACACCTGTCTGGCGACCAGGTCATCCAGACCGACCTGGGTGCCCCAGACCCCGTCCCGAGGAAGGGGTTGTTGTGAGCTCCACAGGGAAGGCCTGGGTGTCCACGCCCAGCATCACTGGGCCCTGGTGTCCAGCCGAGGGCCCTGTCCCTGGGAAGGGTCGAGCGTTCCTTCTAGGATGGCAGGATGGGCTCCAGGGTGACCCCTGCACTGGGCTGGGGTGATGTGGCCTGGAGATTTGGGACTGGCACTCCTTGGGCATGGGCGTGTGGCGAGGTGAGGTGAGCTCACCCCATCCCGCCCTGGCTGTCACAACGGGCCCAGCTGGTCTCCCCGAAGCTGCCTGCCTGGCCTGCTGCACTGGAGAGGCCAGGGCCAGGGGCCCTCCCAGCCTGCCGCCTCGTGCTCCCTCAAAGTAGGGTGGCCCCAGCCCCTACGGTGCACCCTGACACTTGGCAGTGGGGGCACGGTAGTGGCTGGGTGCTGGAGGCAGGTCACCCTGCCGTACGTGGCACGCCCTGACCTTGGCTCTGCTGGAGCCCCCTGCAGCCCGTGCCCGCCTGGCAGACACTGGCCCCAAAGAGGCCTGGCTTCGGAAGTCGCCTTAGGAGACACTCCAGGTCCCTGACAGCTGGTCCGCTGCGGACATCTGTCTGCAGTGCCTTGTCCCCTACTACCCTCAAGGGCAGAATCGGGCATGGCTGACTCGGTTTCCCCAGAGCCAGTCCTGGGCCTGGCAGTTTCAGGGTGCAGAGGGCTTAGGTGAGGACTGTCCTCCAGTGCGGTGCCCAGGATGGGCCAGGGCACCACGTGGGTGTGCGGCTGGGATGGAGGAGCTGCTCGGCCAGAGTGGACCTCGAGTCGCATGGGCCTGGGCAAAGGGCTGGGCAGCAGCAGCTGTGCCCGTGGCCAGGGCCAAGGGCCCCTAAGCTCAGGGGAGACCCCGAAAGCAGGGGACACAGGGGGGTCTGGGGGCTGATGGCTGGCACACTGCTTCCCATGGCAGGCACTGGGGCGTCATCCAGCTGCTGCGGGCAGCCGGGGCCTGCCTGTCCCCCCAGGACCTGGAGGACGCAGGGACAGAGCTGTGCAGGTGAGGGCAGCTGGAGTTGGCACAGGGTTCGAGGAGGAGCCGGGCCTGCTGAGAGGGCTGAAGCAGGACAGCCCGTGCCCAGCTGTGCACTGGCCTGGCCAACAGACAGCGGTGTCTGCCCTGAACCTTACAGGGTCCTGGCCAAGAGAACAGCCCAGTAGGGTGTGTGCAGCAGAGGTGCACCGCGTGAGGGCCCAAGGGGTGGAGCACTTGGGAAAGGCGGAGGCTGGAGACCCCTGTGCCGGGGGACAGTGTGTGGCCCAGCGCGATGTCCCTGAGGCCAGGAGCCCCAGGCCCAGCGAGTGGGTGACTGGGGTCGGGCAGCCCAGCTGGGAAGCGGGGTGGGAGCCTGCTCTGTGGGGAGGACCCCTCCTCACCTGGCCCAGAGCCCCCAGTCCTGCATGTGGGGTTGGGGGACCCAGGCCCCCTACCCTAGTCTTCTGTGCCCCAGGTGTGGGTGATGTGCAGGGCAGGGGCTGGGCTAGGCTGAGGGTGCAGGGCTCCTAGAAGGGTGGGAGCTGGCCTTTGCTTTGAAGGGATTTGTGGGGTGGCTTGGTCCAGGGCTGTACCCCAGGCAGGCCTCGGAGTCTTGAGAAACAGGCAGAGCCGGGTCCATGGGAGCCGGGCTGGAACCATCATCTGGGACCCTGTTTCGGAGTGGGCTGGCCTCCAGGGGGTGCAGCAGGGAGCCGGCTGTGTGGAGTTGTGTGTGGGGGTCTGGGAGGGGCGGGTGGTGCCTTCCAGTGTGATTCACCCAGAAATTATGAGGCGCCACTGTCTACCGCTGTAGACAGATGCCTCCTGATGAGGCGGAGTCACGGGCCTCGAGGGGCCTGGCCTTCCCGCCTCCCACCCCCAGGGCCCGTTGTGAAATGAAGGGGGGCACTGGGCATGGTCATGTGTGCCAGATCCTGTGCACCCTGAGCCTGGACGGAGTCACAGCCACACCCAGACTCCGGACCCAGGGCGGTGCGTTTGGGGCTGGCTGTGTGGAACCAGGAGGGGTGGGCAGCAGGGGCGCATGGGTGGATGGTGGCCAGCAGGCCCTGACGGCTCCCCGACCCCCAGGCTGGCATCCAGGGCGGATACAGAAGGCCTGCGGGCATGGTGCCAGGCCGGGGCTGACCTGGAGCAGCCGGGCTACGACGGGCGCAGTGCTCTGCGTGTCGTGAGTGCTCGGCCGCCTCCTGCAGGATGGCCACCCTGACCGGCCCCCAGCTCCCTCCCACTTGCTGCCCTGCTGTCCCTGCCCCAGGCCCGGAACCGTGGGGGGTGTGGGGGCCCTGTGTGCATGAGCAGGCAAGGGAGGGCCGGGTCCCTGAGCAGCCCCGATGTGCCCCACAGGCGGAAGCCGCAGGGAACCTGGAGGTGGTGGCCCTGCTACAGAGCCTGGAGGGTGCAGGCCATGTGAGTCCCCCCGCCCCCACCCCTCATCCAGCACCCATGGGCACAGGGAGGCTGAAGTAGGCCGGGCTCCTGTGGTTCTGGGAGGGCTGCAGTGTTGGGAGAACCCGGGGCGGTGGGGAGCACTAGCCCAGACCTGTGTCCTGTCCAGTCTGTAGCTTGCTGCCCCGGCCCTGTCCACCATCTGGTGCCTCTGGGTCCTCAGGCCCGGTGGGGCCATACATAGCACAGGGCAGAGATGCGGCACAGCCCGGCCTCCAGGTACAGCTGGGCCTGCACAAGTTCTCAGACTGCCTGTTTGCAGGAAGCGCTGCCTGGTGTCTAACCTCCAGCCATCCTGCTGCAGCAGGAGCCGCTTTCCTGCCTCAACCTGCTGGAGGGACCGGGGCCACATGCCCCAGCCTACCCGCCTGAGCAGGATGCACTCCACTGGCCGGGCCTGGCTGGACAGCTCCACGGGCTGTCTCAGTGATGAAGCGTGAAGGTCTGTCAGGCAGAATGGCAATAAAGTTGCTGCGGAGGCAGTCTCCTCCTGGTCCCAAGTCCAGCTTGGGGGTCTGTCTGGGCTGTGACTTGGCTGTGTGCGAGGAGGGGTCAGATGGACAGGCAGTCACCCCAGACTGCTGACCGGTAGGGTGGGTGGGCAGGGCAGGGACCCTGACAAGCCACCCTCCCAGGGCCCTGTACCCTGTCATCACAGGACAGGACACGCAGGGCTCCTGGGGCTGACAGCTGCCCACGGTCACTCCGGCCCCTCTCCCACCGACTGTGAGCCAGCTGCTGTTGGGGAGGGAGGAAGGGCGACTGTCTCAGGCCCCAGGGTGCCAGCTGGGGGACCATGGCAGCCACCTGCCTTTCAGAGCCGGGCTGGGGCTGCAGTCGGGGGCTCGGGCCCAGGTCAGCTCCTGGTCCAAGCTTGACGCACCCAGCAGGGGCAGCACCTGCCCCAGGATGGAGCCACCTGCCATTGTGGCCCTGGCCTCCCTTGCCACCCTGGCCTTGGCACCCCTCCAGCCCGTGCCACACCAGGATTTCTACCTCTGTCCATCTGCCTTTGGCTCCTGTGCCGTGGGAAGACAGGGCACAGCATGAAGCCACGTGCCCTATGGAAGCTGGACAAACGCATTTCCCAAGAGCTAGCACTTGGCACCTAGGTGGCCAGGCCACGGCTCCTCAGCCTGGTTCCCAGGCCCTGACTGGGCCCTGGGGTGCAGACTCCCCCGAAGGAGCTGCAGCTGGCAGCCTCCCAGCTCCTCACTCAGACACAGGTGTGCCGTTGCTCTTGCACAACCAGGCCATGCCACACAAGGATGGCAGGGCCCAGGAGGCCTTTGCCCCACACCCAGATGGAGCCCTGACCTCCCTGGCTCTGGGGGCACAGGGACCAGGAGGGGGCACAGGGCCTGAGAGCCAAGAGGCCTGCTCTTGAGGGTGGGGTGAGCCCTCGGGTGGGGGTATGGAGGAGGTGGGCAGGGCTGAACCCACCCTGATGCCCCTACCCAGCAGCTCGGGCAGTGCCCCTCTGCTCTGAGGGGCCGAGGGCCGGGCAGGGATGTCGCTGTGGCCACGCTGCGCTCAGCACTTCTCGAGCCTGCAGAGCCAGAGGTTGTGAAAGCTGCAGGTGGCTCACGTTACCCCAGACGGCAGGACCCTCCCGAGCAGGTGCCGACCTGCCTGTGGGAACGCCCACACCCCCTCCTCCAGGGAGCACCCTGGCCGCAATGGCTTGTCCCCAAGTGGGTCAGACCGGCTCAGCAGACGCTTGGGCCACTGGCAGGGAGACGTGGCAGCTGGGCAGGCGGGGCCAAGCCCACTCTGGCCGTCTGTGCGCTGTTGGATGCAGCACGTCACCACAGGCAGCTGCGGCTCGGCTCTGGAAACCTTGGTGTCCTGGGGACAGGCCTGTCTGCCGAGTCACAAGAGAAGCCGCAGGACAGTAGCCAGGGACAGAGGGCACAGAGCGGGGCTCCCACCCCTCAGACGCAGTGGCGTCGGGCACATGGCCACTTGGGTGCTTACATTCTGCCCTGGGGTGGCTGGGTGTCCCCACGAGGCCCCTCAGGGTTTCCCCCCCGCTTTGCAGTAAGGAAACCAAAGCGCAGAGCTGTACACTCCTGCATCCAGGTTCCACGCTGGCCGCCGCAGGCAGGTGACAAGTCCCCAGGCAGAACCAGCCCCATCTCTGGACAGGGTGAGACGCGCGTGGGCGGTGCCCTGGGCCCCCGGGGTGCAGAACCCCCAGGGCCGCGTCGCTCTCACCTGCTAGTTTCATGCAGGGCGGCCTTGCTCCCACGCCACTGGGTTCGGCCGGGTTATCTGTGGGAACACCTCCCCCTCAGAGCACCCGTCTCCATTTTCCCAGCCTTCTCCCAGTGATGGTTGCCCAGGCCCTGGGAGCGAGAGGCCCGCAGCCCCTCTCCACTGCCAAGAGCGGTTTAACCCCGCAGGCCTCCCTGCTCCTCTGAGACTCGGTTTCCCCAACTGCAAAGAGAAACAGCGCACCTTTTGCTATTCGCATTACTGCAATAAGCTGCCCCAGCACACACGACTGGCCCCTCACCTGCTGCTGTCCCCCACGCTCAGGGCCCGGGGCTCCCCCAGGCCGGGCCTGCTCTTCTTCCCGGTCCAGGGGGCGGGGGCGCGTCGCGCCGGGAGGCCCTGCGCCCCGCGGCTGACCCTACTCGGCTCCCCACAGCGGGAGGCCGGGCACCAGAAACCCGCGGGCCGCTCCCGCCCCTCCTGCAGTTTCACTTTCTCTTCATCCTCGCTCCCACGGAGCCGCTTTGAAGGGAGCACCCGGGAAGGGCGGATCGCCCTTCCGCCCCGCCCGCTGCGGCCTTCATCTCCCCAGACGCCCCGGGCCCGGCTCGGCTCGGCTCGGGCGGCGGGGAGCGGGCGCCTCGGGCCGGGCTAGGAGGCAGGTGTGCGTCCCGGGCGCCTGCTCCAGGCCAGGTGCGCCTAGGCCCGGGCTGGAGGCGGGGGCGCCGGGCAGGGCTGGGCGGTGAGTCAGGGCCACCCCCGCGCGGGCGGGCCGAGAGGTCCCGGGGCCGCGGACGACCCGCGCGCGGGCCGCAGGCCGGGAGCCGCCGGCCTGGAAGAACCGGTCGGGCCGGTGCGGCGCGGGCGCATTCCGGCGCCGGGGAGGGCGGGCGCGGCGCATAAAAGCCTCACAGGCCCGGCGCAGGAGCGCAGCCGTCGGGCCACGCGGGACGCTCGGTGTGTGCAGCGCCGCTCCGGCCCTGCAGGCGCGGTCGCCCCGACTCTCGCGACGCACGCGGTCCAAGGGCGGACAGGCTTCTCTCCACAGCGCCAGCCGAGGTCGGCCGACTTGCCCGCTGGGTCCAGTGGTTCTTAACAGTTCAACAGTTCTGTAGCGCAATTGTGAAATGTTTAGGACCACTAGACCCGGCGCGCCCGGCGGCGGCGACAGCGGCCCCCAGACGTCCTCCTCGCGGCTCGCGGCGGCTCGCGGCTCACAAGGTCGGAGCGGGGCGCGCCGGAGAGAGAGGCCACCGGAGAGAGGCCACCGGGACGCGCCGCCCGAGAGCCAGAGCCACAGCAGAGCGCAGCGGGCGTGGCCCCTCGGGCTGTGGGAACCGCGGGGCGGGGGCGCCTTATCGCCTACGCCGGAGCGTCGCAGGCCTGGAGACGCCTGCCCTCGTCACCCTCCTCCCGGGGCCCCACCCCTGTCGAAACTCCGCTGGGTTCCCAGCGGGGTAAAGGAAGCTCCTCGCCCCGGGCCTCCTGAGAGCTGGGGACGGCCGCGCCCTCCTGCTCCGGAGAGGACTGGGGATCCACCGAGGAGCCACTCCTGTCGCCGAGGATGCGGGGCGCGCGGCCAGGGGAGGCAGGGGGCCAGCGCGTGCTGTTGAAGGACCCCACCGAGGGCCAGAGGTGGGCTGAGGAGACACTGGGAGCCCGCAGGCCTGCAGACCAGATATGGCCGGAGTCCCTCGTGGGATGGCCGGCTGCCCTGGTAGGTGGGAAGCTCCCACGGGAGAGGCCTGGGACAGACTGATGCAGGGCTCCAGGTGGACCTGGGTGGCACCCAGCAAAGGGCCATTGTATCCTCACCACCAGCAAGCCATGTCCTGCCCTCCTGGGCGTGGTGCTGACTGCCCGCTGGCCCAGCTGCACCCTCCGGGATTCTGGGAGCTTGGCCCAGTGTTGTGGGGAGCTGGTGGGCCACCTGGGCAGGGGGACAGGCCTGGCTTTGAGGCCTGCTAGGGCATTTCCCACTGCCTTCTTCCTCTGCACCCCATGTGATGATACGCAGAATCTGGGGAAGGCTGGCAGCCTGGTGCTGGCCACCAGCTGGAGGGAGAGGTGCCCCATCGCCTGGCAGTGCCACTGTGGTCACCTTTCAGGCGCTGGCTGCAGAGCTTGGGGCCGTGGGCAGCACAGCCCATGCCAGGTGGTCTGGTGCCCAGGGGTCTCAGCAGCAATGCAGCCCAGCTGCCTGAGGCTGCTGTGGGCCCTTGGTGGCAGTTTTCATCTCACACCATGTTGTCCTTGTACCTGGCCGGCGTGGCGAGGGGCTCGGGTGGGGTTCACAGGTGTGTCCCTTCTCCAGATGGTGCGGACATGTACACTCTAGGGTGATGAAGATAAACACATTCCACAGCAACCTGTGTTCCTGCGACCGGTCGCGCTTTTC